CGAAGGCCCCCAGCAGCCCCCCCTGCCCGCCGCCCCTGCCCGCGCTTCCTTGGGACCCAAGCGCTCCGAGTCCTGGGCGTGGGCCCGGACCGTGGCCGAAGGCAAAAGTCAGGACCAGAGCCTGTTCTGGGGTCTCTATTTTCTGCTTTTAGCTGCTCAGGCCATAATAACCGGGATCATAGTGTTTGCGATGATTCGACTCGGCAGGCTCTTTCGGAAATTAATCAGAGAGAGAGCTCTTGTTTGAGGCAATGGTAAAACCTTGCAATTAAAACGTGACCAGGGTATTGTCAGACGTGGCTCTGGGGAGAGTCCCGACGGGCTGCCGCTGTCTTCCTCTCCCTGCTTCCTCTTCCTCTTCCCCCAACTCCCTCTCTCCCTCCTCCCTCTCTCTTCCCCTTTCTGTCCCACCTCCCATTCCCGCCCCCGCCCCGTACCATTTACAGTCAGAAATTGTGGCTGCCTGCTGTGCCTTTGTCTCCTTCTCTGTCGTGTGCTTCAGGGGGCGCTGGCTGTGAAGGCCCCTCCCAGTGCCTGCCGTGCCGGCAGGAGGGAGGGTTCTCTCCACTGTTTTCGGAGGGAAGGTGCGAAGGAGGCAGCCAGCTTCAGTCCAGGGCCCGCCTCCCGCACCTGGCAGGTGTCTGGTAAGTGTTTGTGAAATGAATGAATAACATAAATACTGGGGAATCCAGTGATAATGGCTTTTCCTAGCGGAGAAGATGGAGTGCTCGCTTTATCTACTTTTATTTGAAAAGCAGAATTCTTCCAGTTCTTGGACTTCCCTGGTGGCGCGATGGTTAAGAATCTGCCTGCCAGTGCAGGGGACACGGGTTCAATCCCTGGTCTGGGAAGATCCCACATGCCGCGGAGCAGCTAAGCCCGTGAGCCACAACTACTGAAGCCCGCGCTCCTAGAGCCTGTGCTCCACAAGAGAAGCCACCACAATGAGAAGCCCACGCACGGCAAGGACGAGTAGCCCCCGCTCGCCACAACTAGAGAAAACCCGCACGCAGCAACGAAGATCAAACACAGCCAAAAATAAATAAATAAATTTATTTTAAAAACAAAAGAACTTTTCCAAAAAAAAAAAGCATTTTTCCAGTTCTTTTTCTGTCCTGTTTCTTCTCACTTTATGTACGTCTGACCTGTGGGGTTTTGGGGAGAGCGCTGAACTCCATCCACACAAAAGCATATTTTCAGAGCAGGTCCGCTGTGTGATAGGCAGAGAGAGAGAAAACGCAGCCTTCCCTCTGGAAGCTCGATGCCCAGCGCAGAGCCCTTACAGCAGTGTCCGGGCTGAGCACCCAGGAGCGGGGGAGGGGCGGGCACAAGAGCAGGTGGGACGGGGGTTAGGGGAGGAGTGGGGGCGTTCGGGGGGGTCTAAGTGTGGGGCTGGGAGCGCCCACTGTTCACGGATGCGTGCCCGTGAAGCGCTGCTCTGCTTGTTCACGGGGTCTGTGAGTTACTACTTGCTTCCTACAGGGGTGAAGACTGTCATTTTGACACTGGGTTGGTTTTCATTTCCTGAAACTAAACGCTACATCATTTCACAAGCATTTACGGAGCACCTGACAGTGACAGGTGTTCATGAATGTAATGATAAGCTTGGGTTTTAGTTTATTATGCTCGGATCACGTTCTCATTTATTCCAATTGAAGGCAGTAAAACTCTTGTTGCTTTCATTGGGTGTCTGCTTGTGAGAAGCAGTGGTTAAAACATAGGCTGGAGAGTCGGAAGGGTTCAGATCCCAGCTCCACCTACTAACTCCATAGGACTGTGGGCAAGGCACCTGAATTCTCGAAGCCTTGGTTTCCTCATCCCTGGAAAGGTATAAATAGTACGTGCCTCTTAGAGTTGTTGTGAGAACTAAAGGCAATAAAGCATCTGATGACAGCCCAGTGCCCTGCATACAGTAAATGCTCAATAAATGGTAGCTCTTATTATTAAAGGTCAAGCAATTATTACTGCTGTCATTTCAAAAGAAGAGCTTTGAGCTGTTTGTTTGTTTGTTTTTTCCCCCTCTGTGTATATAAAGATGAGAGCAAACATCCTCAAACTGGAGATAACATTCAAGTTAGTCTTCACTTGTGGGTGGTCTCAGCCCTGTGTGGTCAGGCTCTGTGCTCAGGGTCCAGAGAAATAGGTCCTCCAACAACCACTGGATGTGGAGCAGAAAGAGCTGGGTTCCTGGCATTGTAGGTGCACTTCTCTTTCAAGACCAAGTTCACATGTCTCCTCCTGGTGAAGTCTTCCCTGACTGTCCCAGCAGATTAAAGTGTTCCCTTCTGTGTGCCCCCCTCTCAGGTTATCTGGCACTAGGCACCCTCCCACTCCAACTGGTTCTGCTCACCCTTCACTCTAGGGGTTGTGTGTGTGTTTATGTGCCTCCTTGGCTTATTTATTTACATTGCTCCAAATTTTGAAACTACCTACAGCATAAAACTCATACTCTGCATATAGTATTCTTCAACTGTTTTTTCTGGGCTAACACATTTTTGAGATTTATCCACATGAAGCATTTGGCTCTAGTTCATTCATTTTAGTAGCTACATAATATTCTATTGAATGAATATACCACAGAACAGTTTGTCTGTTCTCTTGTTGATGGACATTTACTCCCAGTGTTTTTTCTTTTCTTTTTATGGCCCATTACTCTACATCCTTACCGCCTCTTGATAATATCAGAATTTTTAATTTTTGTCAATCTGATAGGTAGGAAATTGTATTTCATTGTTGTTTTATCTTATATTTCCCTGATAACTAGTGAAGTTGAACTTATTTTTAAATCTATTGAACATTCAGATTCATTCTTAGAATTATCTGTGCATATCTGTCAACCAATTTATAATGGGGCATTTTGTCTTTTTGGTATTGATTTCTAAGAACTCTTTACATATCCTGGACACTAATCTTCTGTAAATTATATGCTTTGCAGGTATCTGTTTTCTGCTCTTATTTCACTTTATTCATACTATCTTTTGGGGAGCAGAAACTTTAATTTTAATTTAGTCAAATTTAGCAATAAAACTTTATAGTTTGGGCTTTTGGAAAAAAAAAAACCTTGTCTTAAGAAAATCTTCCTGGGGCTTCCCTGGTGGCGCAGTGGTTAAGAATCCTGCTGCTAGTGCAGGGGACCCTGGTTCGAGCCCTTGTCTGGGAAGATCCCATGTGCCAAGGAGCAACTAAGCCCGGGTGCCAGAGCTACTGAGCCTGCACTCTAGAGCCTGCGAGCCACAACTACTGAAGCCCGCAAGACTAGAGCCCATGCTCCGCAACGAGAAGCCACTGCAATGAGAATTGAGAAGCCCGCACACCTCAAGGAAGAGTAGCCCCCGCTCACTGCAGCTAGAGGAAGCCTGTGCGCAGCAATGAAGACCCAACGCAGCCAAAAATAAATAAATAAAATAGATTAATTTATATATAAAAAAAGAAAATCTTCCTACTCTCAAGCCATGAAATTAGTCTCTTTTATTTTCTTCTAAAAGTTGTAAAGTTTTTCACATTTAGATCTTTAGTCCACATGGAATTTATTTTAGTATACGGTGAGATGTAGGGAGCCGACTGTATTTTTTGCAAACGTACATCCTATTGTCCCAGACCATTAATCACACAGTCCATTCTCTCCCCGCTGGTTTGCAAAGCTGTCATTTATCAAGTTTCCTTATATTCATGGGTTGGTTTCTGGGTCCTGTAGCCTAAACCATTGGCCTATTTATCTAGTCTTATACTCACTGTCTTCATTATTGTAGCTTTGATAATTCTCGGTAGAGTCACCACTCCACCTTGTTTTTCTTCAGAAAAGTTTCATCTATTCTGGGCCCTTGGCAGTTCTATGCATATTTTAAGGTCAGCATGTCAAGCTCCACTGAGAAACCCTGCTGGAATTGTGATAGGCAACTGGCATCCCCCAGATCGAGTGTTCAAGAGAGAGATATCAAGACAGAAGTCAGTGTCTTTTATAGCTTAGCCTCGCTAGTCACATTTCATCAGTTCCTCAGTATCCTACTGGTATACGCAGGTCAGCCTCATCAATGTGCGAGGGCACCACCTGGAGTGAGAACACCCAGAGGCAGGGATCACTGGGGCCATTTTGGAGCCTGGCTACCATGGATGTGTAAGTTTGGGTGGTTTACTCTTAACTACTGATTTAATTTCAATAGTCATAAATCTGTTCAATTTTCTATTTCCTCACTTTTGTTACATTATATATTTTTAAGGAAATTGTTCATTTTGTCCCCACGTTTTCAAATTTGTTAGCTTAACATTTTCCATAATATTTAATTTCTCTGTTGTATCTGTTGTTGTCGTCCCCCTTTTATTCATCCTTAATATTGTTTATATCCATCTTTTTTTCTAGATAAACATCACGAGTGTTTTTTCTATTTTCCTACTTTTACTGAGAACAAACTTGGGGCTTTGCTGCCCCTCTCTATTGTATCATTGTTTTCTATTTCATTCATTGTCGGCTTTATTATTTCCTTCCTCCATTTCCTTTGAGTCTATTTAGTTGTTTTTCTCTTCATGACTTCTTAGGTCAGATACTTAGCCCATTAATTTTCACTCTTTCTTCTTTTTCGGGGTGTAAATTTCCCTTAAGGACTGTGTCGAGGTTGATGACTTTTATGTTCTCTTACCGTAATTAACATTTTGGTGGTTGTTGCAAATGAATACAAAGGAGTTGATGTTATTGTTTCTTTGGAAATATTGTTTACTATAGTGTCAGGTAGTACATTGTAACTACATTCCCTTTCTAACACTTCCTTCATCTTTCTAGAACTTGTGGAAACCACTCTGGACCTCTACCCAGCTGCCTCTGGGAACTCCTCTCCATGGCTTTCATTGGTTGCATCCACTATCTCCTAAATTCCATGTCTTCCTCTCTCTAGTGTGCTCTCCCATCTTATAACTTCCTAGGAGAATGGATACAGAGGGTATCCTTTATTCCGAGTCCTTACCTGAAATTTTCTTTATTCTCCCCTCATACTTGGTTGCTAGTTTAGCTGGGAATAGAATTCTAAATTCAAATTGTCTTTTGCACCAAGATTACTGGTAAGAATTCATTGTCATTATTTACAGCTGACCCATTTTTTTCTTTTGGGGAGCCTTTAAGATCTTCTCTATGTCTTTTGTGTTCTGCTGTCAATATGTGCTATGTATTCCTCTTTATTTCATTCACACAGCTGGAAACATCCTGGGTCCTCTGGAGACTTATGTCCTTAGGTTTTGTGAAATTATCATACACTAATTCCTTGATAACTTTTTGCCTCTCTTTTAATCCTTATTTATTTATTTATTTTTATCTTCTCTTGTGTCTTGTCTTTGAAATCTCTCTCTTCTACTTTCTGGAGACTTCTCAACTCTGTCTGCCAACACTTTAATTAAAATTTTAATTTCTGCAGTTGTATTTTTAATTTCTGTGGTGCCTGTTCTTTAATTGTTCCTTTTTATAGATTCTTACTCTTGTTTAATGGATGCAGTCTCTTTTGGATTTCTCTTAGGATGCTAGGGTTTAAAATTTTGTAGTTTTTAAAGTTACCTTTTCCTTTCTGAGCTATATCTATTTTCTCTGGGATTTGTTGTTGATTGTTGTTTGCTTCCCTTAAATCCATGGTTGTTGGCTCATATTTTAAAAGGGAGGCAATAA